TTATAGTAATATTTTCCTTAAAAAAAAAAAAAAAAAAAAAACACAACACAACACTTAAATTTGTGAGTTGAATAAAGATGTCGTGTTTAATATGTTGTGATGGTTAAGTTAGTACTTATTTAATACGGTATCAGAGCCAAACACCAGACACTGTGTTAGTAAGGACACTAGGCCTCAATGAGATGAATTATGAGATTTCACATTGGTTAGAGAGGAGAACGAAACATTTGTTACGAGGGTTTGGAAAGTTGGAATCCTCTCTCTAATAGACGCATTTTAAAACCTTGAGAGAAACCTCGAAATAGAAATAAAAGAAGACAATATCTACAAGTGTAGCCTGGATGGTTACATTTCCTTTGTGACATGAGCGTTTGAACCGTACAATTAATTAGTCGAAGTTAAGGAGAGGAAAGACATTGTCTTGGCTTGGTTTGTACCTTCTTGACCTTCGGTGTTCCCTTCGAATAGTCAGGTCTCCACCTCAACTTGATTTGTACCTCGTTGATGGTGTTTAATACTCCCCAACGTTCCTAGTGACATGGTCACATTACTTACTGCTCGCTTCTTAAGAGTGAAAACTATTATCACAAACTAATACGAGCCATTTTCTCATTCACATGTATCGTAAGAAAATTTCTAAGACATCACCCAATATAGAATTGCTATAAGTACGGCCAACCATAGAGTACATATGATCGAGCCACCGAAAAAAAATGTTGGTATAGACTCGTATCTTCAAAATCCTTTTAATTCAGATATGGTTCGATAGGGTTCAATTGTCGAGCCAACAACTATATTACAAAAATACCAAAATTCTGAGGAAAAATGGATTGATCAATCTCAATTACAGAGTGCATTGAGAAGAATATGAGCTAACATGAGGTCCAAGAAATATTGGTGCCCAATCTCGCCGTCCCTCCATTTCAGCTTTGCTGGTGCTCGCCCGTAATGGACACCGTCGTTACACCGATTGTCGAAATGCCAAGGGAACGTCATGTCGAAGTTGTCGATCACGCCGTTGACGATCCCCGATTCCTTCAACTTATCCAGCATCACCCAGTTGAACATTTCCATTTTGTTAGGATTGAAGGCAAGTGTTCGAGCGTAGCCTCCGGTGGCAACCGTGGTCCGGTAGATCACTTTCGGGACGGTTAACCCTCTCTGCTTAATGGATTCCATAACTTGTTTCCAGAAAGATGCAGCATAGGCTGCCCCAACTGTGAAAGCTCGGATATTCAACCAGTAAACACCGTCGTGAAGGCCCGAGTTCATGATGATCGTGTCGGGAACGATTCGCTCGGAGAAGTACTTGTGAAGCAAGTTTCTGAACCCTTCATTCCTCAATGAATTCAAACCTTGATAGTTTTGAGTATCGTTCCAATGCCCGTTGAAGATGCTCGTAATTCGAACGGTTTGAGTTGAGTTGTTTGGGTTTGAAAAATTCCGATCGAATCGCCTTGGAACTGCTGGGATTTCAGGCAAACCGAGCACGAAATTGAGAAGGTTTCTTATCGTATCGACATGATTCGAATCACCCCAGAAGAAGATCCATCTACCCTTCAAGCAATCCCAAGCAGAATCACTAGAAAACATCTTAAACGAACAATGTGTAGAATAAACCCAACCATTGCTCTCCAACAACCCCAATGAGCCTTTACACCAAGGGCTCCGGCAAGGATACTCCGGCGCAAAACATCGGTAGCGACCGTCATTGCTGATCTTGCAGTCGTCGTTTCGACCGTGTCGAGTCCACCGTCCGGTCCAAATCTCTCTACTGTAATCAGAGCTCCGACACATTTTAATCTCCGGCAACACAACTTTAGTCTTAACAAATCGAACCTTGATTCTCCGAAGCTCCCGATCGTAGGCGAATCGGGTCGGGGAGAATCGAAGCCCCTCGAAATGTCGAAACAGAAGAATCACCGTGAGATTATAATCTCCGGCGAAATCAGGGTGCATTTGAAGCCAAAACGAGTAAGACCCATTCCCAAAATCTTTAACAAACGGCCGAGATTTCCACGAATCCCCTGAAAGATCAGTTTCAAAATAGTCTCCACCTAAACAACGAGGGTTACCGGATTGATCTAGAGCTTGAAATCGAAATTCATGAACATCCCCTGTGGAAAGCTCCACCGTTGCCGGACGTTCCATGCCGGAGATGGCGATGTCCGCCGTCTTCGAGTCACTGCAAGGCTCGCCGCCGGGAGCCAACCAGAGAGCGAGAATATGGGAGGTGAAATTCGGCTCGAGTTCAGCTGAAAACCACTCAACGCCGGACCCATCGGGAGGTTCGGCGGTGGAATTCTGCGGCGGAACCGACTGAATCAACACCGATTCGGAGTAATTTTCGGGTTTGTAAGAATCATTGGCGGATAAACTCTGTAGAGTAACGGTGAAATTGGAAGAAACAGAGACGAAATCTTGAGGGGAGGTTGAAACTTTGATGAATGTCTTGATATTACGACCACCGATACTCCAAACGGCCAGCATACTGAGAAGAACCATCACCGTTAGAAGCCCAAATCGGGAATGAACCAGATGCGACGGCCTGAAAAGCCATGGATTCGACGTTGCCGGCAGCGACCCCTTTTCCGGCATCGGAAACTGCCGCAGATTCAATAAACCCACAAACCAAAACAAAAAACAGAGCAAACCCAAAACCCCATTAAAGGGAGAAGGGAAGGATTTTCACTTACGGGGTGTACTCGAAAAAGCCAGAAATCTCTCTGTTTCTAAGAGATTGTTCTTCAGCGTGGAAGGTTAGAAAAATGCCTTGAGAGTTGGGAGAAAGACAATTTTATGATGGACGGTTTTACCCCTAACGTTGGATTCCAAAATTACCGTTTTCAGACACCAACGGGTTGCACCGACAGAAAATAATTGAAGTTGATCTCAACAGGGGTAGTTTCGTCATTTAGTCTAATTAAACGCGCGGGCATTCCTAGAGTGTAGCTGTGGCACGTGTGTCCCATGCGACATGTTTCATGTCGGAGTCCAATCCGATGACGGACCATTTAGTGCTTCCGAGTCAATAAAACCCGACCCGAACCACTATTTGATTAACTTAAATTGTGTATGGGGTATATTTTGTCACGTTAATCAATTCAGGTAGTGGGAAAAATAATTCTTATTTCATAAACATAAATAGGCCACAATTATTAATAATTTGCTAATCTCAATATTTGACTCTGGATTATTACGGTGTATTGTTAAAGATATTTAGTATTTTATTATGATTTACCATATGTATCATGTAACTTTGTCTCATTACTATCGTCGTCAATCTCACGATTTTAAAACGTGTCAGTGAAGGAGAGGTTTCCACACCCTTATAAGAAATGTTTCACTCTCCCCTCCAACCGATGTAGGATCTTAAAATACGGATGTTTTAAAATCGTGAGACTGACGGCAATACATAATTGGCCAAAACGGATAATATCTACCAACAGTAAGTTTAGACTCTTACATATCATATATAACCTTTGACTATATTGTTAATATTGGGTATGAATCTATTTGGATAAAGTGAAGAAATCATATTGAAGAACCATAGCCTTTCGTGATTCATTGGATGAATCTTGAATTCCTAATGCCATGGATCATCCCAGCCCTTAGGGCCCTCCCTCCGGACAAAGTCGACCATGACCTCCACTGCTTCATCAACTCTGTTGGAGAGAGAGTGATTGGCATGCTCAATTTCAATTTTCTCTGCACCTCCCATTGCTTTGCACACTCTGCATCAGCTCATAACAACATCAAAACATCAATACGAATCAAGCACCATGCTCTCCAAAACCCCATCTCTTCGTAGCATAGAATTTGCAAGTGTGTAAGAGAGATGTAGTTTACCTATCAACCAATGCTTTCTTATCCACATATTCTGGCACATATTCGTCTCGCATCGAAAAGATAACCTGCAATCAACATGAATCACACCATTACCCATAGCACTAACACATTATTCTCGTTTTTATACTTCTCTCGGCTGCTATTCTTGTGAGATTTCACATCGATTAGAGAGGAGAACGAAACATTTCTTATCAAGATATGAAAATTTCTCCCTAGTAGACGTGTTTTAAAAACAGCAGTGATACATAACAAGCCTAATCGGACAATATCTACTAGCAGATACATAACAAGCCTAATCGGACAATATCTACTAGCAGATACATAACAAGCCTAATCGGACAATATCTACTAGCAGATACATAACAAGCCTAATCGGACAATATCTACTAGCGGTAGACTTCGTGGTTGGAGAGAAGAATGAAACATTCCTTATGGGTGTGAAAACTTCTCCCTAGTAGATGCTTTTTATAAAGTGTGAGACTGACAGTGATACGCAACAAGCCAAACTGGACAATATCTGCTAGCGATGGATTTGTGCGGTTACAAATAGTATCAGAGCCATACACCAGGTGAGGCGGTGTGTCAACAAGGACAACTAGATCTCTAAGGGGGTTGGATTGTGAGATCTCATATTGGTTGGAAAAGGAAACAAAACATTCTTGCAAGAGTGTATAAACTTCTCCTAATAAACACGGTTTAAAAACTGTGAAACTGATAGCTATACGTAATGGGCCAAAGCAGACAATATTTGTTAGTAGTGAACTTGAGTGGTTACAATTCTCAATGATCATGTATGACCAGAGGAAGAGGAAGAGAGAGAGAGAGAAGTGTGCATGCAGACCTGACAGGGAGTGTTAGCCATGTGCCCAAGTTTCATTCTCAGCTGCTCATCACTAAGGTCAGAGCTGAACATGTCATCATCCCCCATGTACGAGCAAATGGAATAATACCTGCAAATACCAAATTGCTTTCAAGAGTACTGATAACAAAACTACCTTCCATCTCCGTTCAAAATGAAAGCATTGTGGTCTTATACACACCTGTTAGCAGTTATTGGAGAAGATGGGCTTGCCTCTCTTGGCATCAGATATGATCCTCTACCTTCGCTTATCATAGTTGAAGCCAAGTCAATCATGGCTGCTGTTTCAGGAAGAGTTGCTCTATACTCTCGACCACTAACTGGAGCCTGACCATATAAACAAGAATCCTGACTAAAACTTAAACATCACACATAAAATCAAGGATTAGTTATTACCTGGAAAATGGCGCCGCGAACTGCTCGAGAGCAAGCTGCATTTGTACCAATATAATGGACTATATCCTGTAGCAATGTCCCAAGAACATAGCGGTTAATCAAAACTTCAACTTATAAACTTACCCTCAAGATTTTCAAAATGTTCGTCGGCTAGAGAGAGGTTTCCACACCCTTATAAAAAATGCTTCGTTCCCCTTTCCGTCCTTGTTGGCACTCGTTCCTTTCTCTAATCGATGTGAGATAGCACAATCTACTTTCCTTCGGGGCCCAACGTCTTTGCTGTCAGTCGTTCCTCTCTCCATTCAATGAGAGATCGCACAATCCACCTCCTTTCGGAGCCCAGGGTCCTCGACACTTGTTCCTTTCTCCAATCGATGTGGGGCCTAGGGTCCTCGACACTCGTTCCTCTCTCTAATCGATGTAGGATCACACAATCCACCCCCCTTTAGGACCCAGGGTCCTCGGCACCTGTTCCTCTCTCCAATCGATGAGGGGCCTAGGGTCCTCGACACTTGTTCCACTCTCTAATCGATGTAGAATCGCACAATACACCCCCCTTTGGGACCCAGGGTCCTCAACATGTGTTCCTCTCTCCCATCGATGTGGGATCACACAATACACCCCATTTGAGACCCAGGGTCCTTGACATTTGTTCCTCTCTCCCATCGATGTGGGATCACACAATACACCCCCTTTGAGACCCAGGGTCCTCGACATGTGTTCCTCTCTCCCATCAATGTGGGATCACACAACAGTCTAGTATCTTCGCTGGCACTAGTTCCTCTCTCTAATCAACGTAGAATCTTACAATAAAAAAAGGACCATATCTAATATCTACTAACAGCTGTTATATAAGAACATTAAGCAACATTGAGCAATTACCTGACACCCAGTACTATGTCCAAGTAACACAACCCCCTCAGAGTCTTCTTTATTAATCAGATAACTTACTAGCTGATCAAGCTCCTTGGCATCCTAAATCGAATCAACTTCCTTTTATTAAAACATAATCTTCAAGTCAAGAACCAACTTCATATCTATGGTAATGTTAACTTACTTGTTGCAAGCTGGAGGTACCATATCCATTATACGATGATGACAGAAGTATCTGAACAAGTGACCATTCTTCTTTATCCAAAGCAATTGCAAGAGGTTCCAAATATCTGCAAATCAACAACAAAAACACGCTCATTTTAATCTAAGCCCAATCGTAGAAGAACCCCCACAAAAAACATACTCTGTTGCCATAAAGCCATCACTCAATCCACCAATAAATATGACTTGCTGTTTGTAATCCCCCGTCTTAAATGCAACCTATAACATAAAGGACATGCTTAACAAGGCATCATACACAGATAGCATAAATTTTTCAATAGCTCCAAAGAACAGAAAAATTCTCGTGAACAATGAAAGATTGACGGACCTGAATCGGCTTGGGACCATACTTGAAGAGCAAGCCATGGAAATTGTTCTTTTTCACGACAGGACCAGGGGAATCCCCGGCAGGAGAGCCGGAGGCAGAGTTCGCCGATGTTTTCATGCTGGCTGAACTATCGAAACGGCCGCGAATAATGACAGAGATCCATGAAGTGGTCGCCGACGACGAGGAGGAGGAGGAGGAAGAGGAAGAAGAAGATGTAGAAACGGCAGGATTTGAAGGGGGGGAGGAGGAAGAAGAAAGCGAGAGATTCATGTCAGTATCACCGGCTCCGATCTAAATCATTGCCGTTAACATTCTTTGTTCGATAATGGTGGGATAATCGGAAGAAATGGAAGAAGGGTTTGTTCAGATTGGGTTGGATCGCCATGAGAAGAGGAAACAAGATCGTCGTCCACTCCTATTCCCCGCCGAAAACATGAACAATCTAAACCAACGCGTGACAATTTCAAACATTAGTTTTCTTTTTTCTTTTTCTTTTTATTTATTTATGAATATTTAGTTTTACAATATTTAATATTATAAAATATTACGAAATGGGCCAGTGGGTACTGTCAATGGGCTATTGGGCCAGTGGGTGGCTACGGACACTTACGCTCATGCATTGGGCCATCAACAAAAATGGAGAATTTGGTCTATTGTTACAATTGCTTGAAATATAGCTAAAATGTTAAAATAATAATAAATAAATAAATAAAACTGAAATGTTAGTTTAATTATTTGTCGTTAATGATAGCATTAAGAAAAACGAGCCATTGAAGCAAATGAAGGAAAAATCGGATGTAGTAGGAGTGGTAAATTAGTCGGTACACGCCTTGATCTTGAAAGATATGATAGTTAAAGTTGTAGGACTGATCGTTAATGTCTCGAGCCATTGAAGTAGCACGTAAGACTATAATCGGACAATTCCGAAGAAATGGTAAAATATGGATAAGAATTCTCGCTGATCTTCTTGTTACCGAGAAACCTACAGAAATCCTACGAATTGGATTGCTCGTGTGTCCATAAGACATATCCCATTTAAAATCCCATTAGCCGTGCATAAACTATATTTATCAACCATATAATCATCGTACTTGCAATAAATGAGTATTGAAAAAAAGAGCTCAAAGTCATTAAATTGGGCTTTTACTCCCAATTTAATTTCAAATAAAGGTTACAAAAAGTATGATTTTGATTTTTGACTCAAGTTTTTTTTTTAATAAATAGATTTTCTTTCTGGAAAGGCGGATTCCAGTGGGGACCGCTTTGAGCGTGAGTGGAGTATCAAATTCGATTCGGAACAAAATAGTT